CATACACCGGTATTGCGGTATTTAAAAATGCATATCATAACAAAAATAAACACCGGTATTCGGTATGAACCGGTATTCCGCCCAGCACTACTTGAGGGTCAGTAAATCATGTTGTCATTTTCATTTTTGGGTGAACTATCCCTTTGAAATGATTCCATTTATGTGACTCAGTTCAAACTGTCCATTTCTAAGATTTGATTAACATTTTTATTTCAACATCTATGTTTTATATTTTTATGTTTTATGTTTACATTTTATGTAAAATGTTTTACTGTATGTGAGCAGATATAATAATAATAATAATAATAAGTTTAATTTATATAGCGCCTTTCCCAAGTTCAAGGACAATGCACAATGACAGAAGCAAATACATTCCTATATATGGACAAGACATTTTTCAAGTCCAGAACATGTGGTTGCAGTTGCATACCACAGTAATAATACAGTATCATAATCAAAAAATCTATCTATCTATCCATCTATCTATCTATCATCTCAGTTTTCAATGCTTTTTTAACATTTTGTTATATTAGTGCAAATGAAAATTATAAAATTTTTAAATTACATTTTAGTTCTTGCATTAAACATTTTGAATCTACTTAGCAGAAAGGCCTTATATACCACACAGGATATAGGATATAAAAATATATCAGTCAACCCTAGTGACCTACTAACACCAACTGTCAAACTGAAACCCAACAAATGGAGAGATACAGCGATGAGCAATGCCCGACGCTGAGGCACAGTTGAAGTGGACGTGGCAATATTAATCTCAGGTGGTGACGAGTGAAGCTTTCACTCTGAAACACAAAGCCATTAATAACAGCCTATCAATTGCTTTCTCTTTCTCTGGAACCAGAGAGTGGCCTCTATGGGTACCGGAGCACATCATCAAAATAGCAGATGAGGCTGGCGGCAGCGGCGAGGGAAGCGATACACAGAGGCACAGACTTGTGATAATCATCATTCACTCTGTCCCTTTGCCTGTAGGCACTTTACATCAAAACAAATGACAACTGCATCTCATAGTGACATGTTAGTTTAAGCAAATGCATAGAAGACAGCTTATCAAAACCATTCCCGACAGAGAAACAGCCGTGTGCCGATGCTGATACCAGCGAGATTTGGGATAAATGTGCACATTATTGCATTACTGTAACGGGTGAAGTCTATTTTCCTACGTGATGTCTGTTTTTTCCTTTTTAAATTATGAATAAATGTTTGATGAACAGCTTGCCGAACAGCTGGGTTGTATTTAGCAGCAGGTGAGATGACCAATCTAGCAATTGAGAGAGGGCGGATGAATGCAAACTGTTTAAGACTATACAAATTATAAAACAAGAGCGATGCAAGAGACTTTAATATTTGTGTATTTCAGTCACGGCGACATTAAAAAACCTGATTTGATGTGTGAATTTCTAAGGCCACTAAATTATCAACATGATCAAAACATTGCTGAAAAACCTGCTGTACACAATCTACTATACATCTTCTGTCGTCTGATTGATAGTTCATACTTTTTTAGCAAGATAAAAGGCCTTTTAATGTAACTCTAAAAATGTTCCCCTTCGGGTCATGGTCTTGCTGTGAAATCTTCAATGATTTAAGTAACCGCAAGAATAACTTTTATATTGTTATTTCAAAATGAACATTTACTGAACTGAAGCAATAGGTTTCCTTGATTAACTATACATCATTTTTAGAAAAAGCATGATGCATCAGGCTTTTGAAGAATATTTATTTGTTCATCTCTCAATCATCATTGCATTGTATTGAAATATGTTTTGACCCCCACAATACAAACTACAGAGCAAAAGCATTTGAATATTAGGAAATAGAGTGGCACCTGATATTTATGTGCATTTTATGTAAGAATTTAATCTTACTTTTGGTCATATTAATATTAGCAACTGTATCAAATAGTATATATGCATATTTTACTCGGTTAGGGCATCTGAATGAAACTGAGGTGTTTTTTCCTGCTTGAGTATGTGTTCCATACTCTCAATATAATACTATATAAAAGTCTGATGTATCATATTTGATACATATATGAATATTTTGTCAAAAGGTTCAGTAAACTGTTCCATTAAAAAAAAATCTATTTAATATTAGACCTAGTTAACCTAGTTTTCCTGCTTTTAAAATCAATGAGAGCACATCAGACAAATGTGTACATGATTCAGAAACTTATTTCCATAAAAATTGCATTCTGTCAAGGACTGTTATGTTTTTATCCTTCCTCTCTTTCTTTCCTAAGTACTGACCTTATTTAGCTCTTTCCAAGAACTTTACAAAGCTACAAATCCATTTAAACCTCATTTCTGGACATTAGAAGTGCTTTTTACTGACAAACAAAATACTTTTAGCCGAAAATGGAGGTACTTATAACAACCCATATTTTGTAAATGATAAAATCGTGAAAACCTTCCATTAAAAAAAGTGCCTTTCAAGATTTATCTGTCACATTGTGTTGTTAAGTGCTGATCTGTTGTAATTAGAGTAGGCATGAGTTTGTCCTTAATTTATTTGCTCCCTTAAGCCCAAAGTCGGAGACACTCATTAGGATAACGAATGGCAGCTTTGGAAAGAGGTCTCAGGACACAGAATTCTTCCCACTCCTACATGACTAGACGACTAATAAGTCTCATCATGGCTGCTCCCTGTGCACGAGGAGTTTTAAGAACAACGCTGTTTTTTAAAAATGTCAACCCACAAGGGCACTTATGCTAACAGATACCTAGAATTACTTGTTTTTGTGCCATATAGACTCTGCAAGAAATTATTTGAAATGCAATTTAGTTCTTGGCGTGAATAAAATGAGGGGGGCGCACATATATAAAGCAGGTCATTTGAAGATTCTCCATGGTGTGAATTTTACGCAAGTTGTCTTTGGCGATGAATGACTTCATTTCACAGCTGCAGTATTATTAAAGGTCCACAGATTTTTTTTTTACACCACACGTGTGGAATGAAATGAGCAAAATGCTGAATTAAATCTCAGCCTCTCCTCACATGTAATACAGAATGCGTGTTTCATGTGTATGAGCAATAGAGTCCTCGGCTGAATTTTATCGTGGATTCATATTAAATCTGTGGCTGCAAGATGAAAGGACACTTGGCACTTCTAAGCGGTGTGGAAAGTGAGGGACATTTCTTGACTTCTCTTGACTCCATGTGATTCTCATATTGCATGCATACTTCAGATGAATAATTCAAGTGAAATTAAAAACTAAAAGTTCACATTAAAAATGCAAAGCCATATTACAAGTATCATTTCTGGAGGAAGTGGTTGCTCTCGAAGAGAGCATGATATCAGTTTAACCACAGAGCATCGTGAAGTGTTATCATATGAGAAGTAAAAATATTAAAAAAACATAAAATGCCTCGCTGATACAATATCACCACACTTTCAGGAAACACAAACAGGCATTTTGTATATATTTATGCTATATTTTTTACATTATTCATGTTACATGATTAAGCTGAATTAAATCTCAGCCTCTCCTCACATGTAATACAGAATGCGTGTTTCATGTGTATGAGCAATAGAGTCCTCGGCTGAATTTTATCGTGGATTCATATTAAATCTGTGGCTGCAAGATGAAAGGACACTTGGCACTTCTAAGCGGTGTGGAAAGTGAGGGACATTTCTTGACTTCTCTTGACTCCATGTGATTCTCATATTGCATGCATACTTCAGATGAATAATTCAAGTGAAATTAAAAACTAAAAGTTCACATTAAAAATGCAAAGCCATATTACAAGTATCATTTCTGGAGGAAGTGGTTGCTCTCGAAGAGAGCATGATATCAGTTTAACCACAGAGCATCGTGAAGTCATATGAGAAGTAAAAATATTAAAAAAACATAAAATGCCTCGCTGATACAATATCACCACACTTTCAGGAAACACAAACAGGCATTTTGGATATATTTATGCTATTTTTTACATTATTCATGTTACATGATTAAGAACCCAACATGTACTTTATGGATATAGTTACCGTACCGTGCTGAGCTACTTGTAAATACACTTTACACAAAAGCTAACAGTACATGATTCAAAAATGTATTTGGTAAAAATTACATTCTTGCAAGAACTATTATGGGGTTTTCTTGTTTATCTTAAGTGCTCATTCAACTACTTTTCAAGAACTTCACAAAGCTACAATGTCCATTATCCTCCTTTCTGGAATTTTAAGTGGTTTTACTGATGAATGTATGAAGTATGCATGTTTGAAAAAAGAAATATTGTGTGTGTGTGTGTGTGTGTGTGTGTGTGTGCGTGTGTGTAAAATGTTAATGACCTGGTTTTAATATGACTTAACATCACTAAATCAACTAATACATACACTAAAATGACTATGACTTAACATCACTAAATAAACTAATACATACACTAAATACATTCATTTATACCAACAAAACAAATTTTATGGGTTAAATCAGGTAGAAATTGCTCTTTTAATGCATGCAGGTTACTACTTTATACAGTGTAGTATACATTATAATTATATATAGGCTAATCTAATAACATTATTATGGCTAATATAAAATGCGATTGGTGTAAGGACATTGTAATGTAAAGTAATAGGCACTTTTGTTCTGAATGTCAGGCTCTCTCCAGGGGCTTTCCTGACACACCAGCAGAGCACCTGTGCATTCTGCAGGAGATGCGCAGCTGAAGCTCTACCTGAACTTCACTGCTGCAGAGCTCCTCATATCCGTGTCTGTCAGATCCAACCCTGTCAATAAGCATCATTCAGCACACGCTGTTTAACAGTAAACCAACACCAGCTGATGGGTGAACTAATATTTGACCTGCTGATTAAAGCATCTGCTGCTTCAATCACTGATTCACTGTGAATTCTAATGCAGCAGTAAATTATATTTTAATTATACGGGTGAACCTGAAAGCCATGCAAGGTGAAACAATGAGCAGACAGAACAATTATAATAACAAAACGCTCAATTCTGATATGAACATTTCTACTTTACCCGACTAACGTGTTTTTTTTCTTTTCTCAGTACGTGTATTTCTTCAGTCTGTGCTCCACAAGCGGTAGATGAGAGGTGCTGACATCGCAGTCACTGAGATCTCGGAAAAACCATTTTGCCCAAGTCCTTGCGTCCAGAGATAGAGACAGAGAGAAAGAGAGAGAGAAGAAAGCGCAGGCTGTAGGAGGGTTTCGCCCTTTCTCCTTCGGTTCTTCACCCCTGAATATATTCCAGCACGGCTCGCTCGCAAATCTGTCTGCAAACTGCGCGCAAACCAAGACAGTCCCTCTCCTGTGCCAAGCTCACCTCGCTGGATTCACAGCCATACAGAGAAAGAGAGAGACGTTGTTTGCGGCCAGATTTACATTCAGCGTGTCCAGCCAGCGCTGGGTCCAGCAAATCAGCAGAATGATAGCGAAAGACTGGAGAGACACACTTTATGAACAACAGCGCCACTTTCTGACCGAAGCGCACAGCTGGCCGTTATGAATACAGAAGGGAACCATGAGGAATTTTTACGTTTTTGGCTCCAGTTTTCCCTTAACGATTCTGCTTCCCCAGTGGTTCCATTAACGATTTCTTTTTACGTGTGAGTAATGAATGAATGAATGAAATAAAATAAAATAAAATATTGCATTTTTAATTGCATTTATTACACATTATAAATGTCTTTATTGGCCAATTTAATAAGCGCTTTCTGAATAAAATTATTTATTTTTAATAAATAAAAAATACAATCTTAATTTTAAATCGTAGTCGTGTTATGGTTTTCACAAAAAAATATTAAGCAGCAATAACTGTTTCTGAAGGATCATGTGACACTGAAGACATGGGCTAATGGCTGCTTAAAATGCAGCTTTGCTTCCTGGGTCAAAAAAACACTGCATTTTATTAGCACTTCCCAGACATATCCATCCATATCACCCCATTATAATTGTTGTTGGAAATAAATCTCTGAACAAGACCTGAAGATTAGATGATCTTTGTAAAGGTCGAACAGCGCTCCTCCGAGTGTTGGGAACAGGTCAATTCCAGAGACAAACCCCAGTAAAATAAGCTCTCTTTATTAAAGCCGAAGCCGTGTTCTTCCCCACTGCCATTAAACACACATTAATCATGCTTACTTCAGCCCAGGATACTTTAACACAGCCCAGCCATCATTAATAACGCTCCATCCAGTCCCGCGTTGACATTTCCTTTAATTATCTCCGTAATTTATTCATGTACTGTATCAGTGGCGTTTGTTGTGCGAAGCTGCCTGTGAGGAATATTTTACTCAAGCCTCTTCAAGACACAGGATTAACTATGCTAATGAGGAAGCTGGGAGGCATGACTGCTATTTGTGCCTGTTAAGCCGGCAAGCCATTAGGCCCCCGATGCACATGTGCCAATTGAAACAGGTTTGAGTACTGTGTCAGAAATATTTTGAGCATTATATTTGTGTTACTTGGAGGTAATTCTGTCATACATTTTAGTTTGTTGAGTAAACACATGAGCCACATTCAAGGCTTTGCGCATGCGCAAGAAGTGATACTGGAAATCTCGTAAGACTACAGCTCTTCCCCTTGAAATTTCCTGTGCCATGTACGTTGCTTTCTCATTGGCTGTTGTTGGCCGCCAATGTAATTTCCAGTTAAACCACATTTTACACTGCAAGACTAGCAGAAAGGGCATTAGCGTCACCTCAGAATTCAGGCTGTTACTGAATGAAAATCAAGCCTAAAATTGTGTTAGTAAAGATTTTATATTTTCAATCCATCCCATCCATTTTCCAAACTGCTTTATCCCTTGCAGTCATCATATTGTACAATTGTAACTTATTATATAGCACTCTAAAAAACAGTGCTTTACAGAATGTATGTATGCGAAGACTGGCTTTTACAACATTTCATTCTTGTCCTTGAATTTGATTTTATTTAAAGCACAGTGTTTCCTTGTCACGCTTTCTTTACATAGATTCTCTGGTCCAGTAGGTGGCATCAAGTGACTGCCTTTATAATTCAATCACTGAATCATTCTCTCAGATGAATCAGGAACTAGAGGCCACTTCGGTGTTGTTTGGAGATGCAACAGTCTGCATTGACTTTGTTTGTAACGGTTTCCTAGGGCGGAGCGAAAACATTTTTTTTTTAAATATAAATTTTATTTAACTGTTAAAAGAAATATCACACTGTAATTGTATGTTAAGCACATTTAGCTCCTCCCACTATGTTATTGTTGCAATACACCACACTTTTTTTTAGTGTGAATACACTACTAGCACTACTTTTTCTAAAAAGTGTGGTAGAATAGTGCAGAATGATGGGACTCGCCTGAATTAAGGAGAGAACAATGTGGAGTAAAATTACAAAATTAAGGAAACACATGAATCTAATATGAAATGCAAAAGTGTCACAGGTGTAAAAAGTGCCTGAAAGTAAAGGTAGAGCTACCTTAAAGAGAAAATTACTCCTTTATAACTTCCTTTACAAATCATGTTTATTTTCTAAAACGGAAATAAAACACCTCAATACTGCAATAAATCAAGGTCGACACAACAGCTTCTTAAAGATCTGCAAACACTCAAGTCTCTGTTAAGCCCAAGTGGTCAAAAAGGGCATTAGTAAATCAATATCCTTCAAAAAAGACTCTCTTCAGGATAACAGTCAAAACCCACTTGCATATGCTGATTTCGACCTCATGACTGGCTGCAGCCATGACCTCATCTCATATAAGGGTATGTTTACACAACAATGATGTACTTTGTGTTTTTGATAAGTTTCCAATACAGATGACAACATTGTCCAAATGATCCCTGTTCACATGGATCTGCGAAAATGACTAAACACACTGTATTATGCATGCCAGGCCAGTAGTTGGCACTCTCAGGGTTGCCAGGTCTGTGTGACAAAACAAGCCCCACTGGTAGTTAAAACAAGCCTAATCACATTCCAATGGGTCAAAACCACCTTCCAGGGGATTCACCAAGGTTGAAATCACATTTGTTTGTTTGTTTTTCCTCTGACTCGCAGACTAAAACACAACCTGTGGCAGCAGTATAAAAGTAGTCTAATTCTATGATTCCTCAACTAGCTGTTAATGTACTCACATTCACTTAAGCCACTCTGGCTATGTTTACATGCACAATTTTTGTTTAAATCGGACTGAATTCATTACGATTCATGAATCTGAATGTTGTGTCTACATGAACGCTAAATAAAGTGATGTGGTTGATGTTTATATGTCACAAGCTTTTTTTTGACATGCATACACTGCACAAATATAGAGTTTCCCGCTGTTTCCACATAATAACCACTCTCCTGTTTTTTATTTGTTTTAAACAGCAGAATTAATATTTATCCATTTCTGGAGAAATATTACATATAAACTGCTGCGCTGCTTATATTTATCACGCAGTAAAAATGCGCGTCCTGTGCCCAAAACCAGTCTGCAGAAAAAGTTAGGTGTCATGTAAAATGTTATGAGTAAGTGCGTTGCCGCATAATTAGTCAGTTACAGAATGAAGCCCATTTTTAGGATGCCTCCCAAAACAATTTTCCACAGCGTGGGCTGTAAAGCATTGCACTGAATATGCTGATCTCATCAGGAAACTTTCATTTAACATAAAAAACAGACTGACATGCTTTATCTCTGACACCTACAGCACAAAGCTCGCTGAACTTGTTATGTGAAACATGACAGGCTTGCAGTTATGCTCAGTGCCTTGAGAAAGATTACATATCTGAGTGTGCTCAAATTGACCTTGAAATGAGACTATTCAGTCCCATTCAGGAACAAATGGCATGATTCTATGGGTGCCACCAGTCCACAAGTGCAGTTGGACCTGGTGTCAAGAGTGTCAAGTCTCTGCGATTGAACTTGTAAAGTAGTTTGAGCTCCAAATGGTTACACTATTCTAGAAGGGTTAACAAGTTATTCAGGTCTCTGCAATAAACAAGCCCCTTTAGCATGCACCCAAACCTATAATTCAAGAATGAGAGCGACTTAAATTCAACCTATAGTAGGCTACGTTCTGCGTTTCGTTTGTGTGTCAGTCAAGAATTTCTATAAAACCATGACTGTCTATCAGCACAGACCCCACAGGCCTGCACTGGAGCGTAAAATACACCCACGTCCGCCCTAGCAGAATTAATATTTATCCATTTCTGGAGAAATATTACATATAAACTGCTGCGCTGCTTATATTTATCACGCAGTAAAAATGCGCGTCCTGTGCCCAAAACCAGTCTGCAGAAAAAGTTAGGTGTCATGTAAAATGTTATGAGTAAGTGCGTTACTTATTATAAACGGAGCAAAGAGTAGGCCTACCTATACAAAAATTTAGTCACGTTGAGAGTAAAAGTTGCTATACTTTAAAAAATGCTGGGTTAAAGGCAACCCAGCGCTGGGAAAATATTGGACAGAACACATGCTGGGTTATTTGCTATTTGCATGCTGCTTTTGACCTACATGCTGGGCTGTTTTATTTAAGTCAACTATTGTTTAAAAATTATATTGCTGCCTTAAAATGGGCAGGAAATAAAATAAAAAAACTCTTTCAACGTGCATTTTAGAAATAAAAAGGTAACATTTAAAAGTAGCATTTTAATTTAAGTGTATTCAACTGTTCTCTGTAATCACTTTTTACCGAAATAGTGCTAATTCGCGTGCCGGTGTGTCGCTGAAATCTACCCTCAGACCGCAGCCTCGTGTTTCACTCGTAGCTGAAAGATGCCGTGACTGACTCCAAAACCTGCCCATAAACATAAATCACAGTACTGAGATTAGAGAACATATTTTAACTTCAAATTAATTTAAACTCAGTATTATAACGAATAAAATCAATTTATGTTATGCAAGGCAAAAGACAAAATTAAGGAAACACATGAATCTAATATGAAATGCAAAAGTGTCACAGGTGTAAAAAGTGCCTGAAAGTAAAGGTAGAGCTACCTTAAAGAGAAAATTACTCCTTTATAACTTCCTTTACAAATCATGTTTATTTTCTAAAACGGAAATAAAACACCTCAATACTGCAATAAATCAAGGTCGACACAACAGCTTCTTAAAGATCTGCAAACACTCAAGTCTCTGTTAAGCCCAAGTGGTCAAAAAGGGCATTAGTAAATCAATATCCTTCAAAAAAGACTCTCTTCAGGATAACAGTCAAAACCCACTTGCATATGCTGATTTCGACCTCATGACTGGCTGCAGCCATGACCTCATCTCATATAAGGGTATGTTTACACAACAATGATGTACTTTGTGTTTTTGATAAGTTTCCAATACAGATGACAACATTGTCCAAATGATCCCTGTTCACATGGATCTGCGAAAATGACTAAACACACTGTATTATGCATGCCAGGCCA